AAAACGCATGCTCACACAAACAAACCTACGGATATACAAAAGCGTGTTTTGCGTTTTACATAACAACAAATCAAACATCTCTTGCAGTTACGCTGTGAGAAACAACTGCACTACAGTGCTCGTAAGGTTGGCCTAAACCCTTGTGTAGCTTGGGAAGTAAAACCAGCGCAAAAATATACACAGGGACAGAGGAAGAGAGGACATTTCCTCTGTCCTTGTCCATATTTTTGCGCTGTTTTTACTTCTCAAGTGTGAACCACCAACTAAATCAACTGTCGCTATTATTGCAACTTATTCCTTGTGTAGCCGAAAGCTGCAGCGTGAACCGATGCCTCTTGCGCCCATGAAAGCGCTCATTCCGAATACTTTATTCATTTTTGTTTATTTCAGAAATACTGCCGATCCCGACGAAGATTTTCGCAGGAAGGGCATACATAAACTTAAGATATACAAGAGTGAACATTTTAGAGGTAAGAATATGCAGGAAGTATAAGCAAGTCCTATGCAAAATCATTTAACGAACACATATGGAAATATAAAAACAAAACCCTTATGCAAACCTACAAATGACGTGCCTTGAAAATAAAATAAAAAGTAGTGTGTACTTGAAATACACACGTAGTGGGTGAATATATCGAATATATGTTCGCGAACTAATTGTTTGGTTGTATTCTTCGCAATATCGACGTGGTGAGGTTGGGAATGATTGATTGATATGTGGGGTTTAACGTCCTAAAACCACCATGTGATTATGAGAGACGCCGTAGTGGAAGGCTGCGGAAATTTCGACCACCTGGGGTTCTTTAACGTGCGCCCAAATTCAAGCACACGGGCCTAGAGCACTTTTTCGCCTCCATCAAAAATGCAGCCGCCGCAGCCGGGATTTGATCCCGCGACCTGCGGGTCAGCAGCCGATTACCTTAGCCACTAGCCCAACGCGGCGGGGCCCGCGGTTGGGAATCATCGCGCCTAAAAACTGAAACACGGGGAAGCCGGTGCGCCATGAGCTACAAAAGATGTCGTTTGAACAGTCAGTTTTTGTTTCTTATCGTGAACTGCAGAATTATTTATTTATTTACATTTGACCTACATCGCCGTGAGGCATTACGTAGGGAAGGTACACATTATAATTTGACTACATAGTTTTCAATCGAAACAATAGATTCAACAAATAAAAGCGCACTCAAAATATTTTAACCCTTTGTAGGGCATGCAGGATATGTTTTTTTTTAAAAACCAGAAAAAGGTTGTCTTATTTTACTAACCAAGCCAACAGAAGTAGTTTGAAAGAAATTTCAAGGATGTACAACGAGTACTTTATTAAAAAAAACTGGGACACATTTGTCCCACTGGCGCTAAATTAAAATTCAAAAAATGGGACGCATTTGTCCCAATGCTCTTCGAGGGCTCCGGGGTTACATTCGGGCGGCGTGAAAAAGTCCAAAACACGTTGAACCAATGCTCCTTGAGGGCTCCTTGGTTACATTCGGCCGGCATGAAAAGGTCCAAAACACGTTGAACAAAGGGGCACATTGCACACAGAACACAGAAGGTTGGTGCGCGCTTCTTTCTTGGCAGTCGAGCACCAACGACACCGCCTCCTTTTTGCAATCTTCTGAGGGTGATGTCCAGCTCCTAGAAATCGGACTTCATCAGCAACGCCTACCATTTTCTGGCCATGTTTGGCACCTTTTTTGTTGACTCGATACGGGCGATTGCTGGACCCTTTGAATGTTTGCCCGTTTATCAGCTGGCGACCAAGGACGAGCCGGAACCAAAGGTAGCTCATTTCACTGACTGCTTTCATTTGAAGAAAAGCATTTACTATTGCTGCGTCCAGCAGAAAGTAAAAAATTCGGTACCACGACTTCTTCGATCGTCGATCCACCGGGTATGCGTTCCTTCTTTGATCAAACTTGTCGACTCCGCCCATCCAGGTATTGTAGTCGGAGACTGCTTTTGGGCACTGGACGGATATAGATGAGTCATTAGAAAGCTTTCGAACAACGTCCTCAGTGTCGCTGGGGTGATGAAAGTTGGACAGCACGTGTACGTTTTTCGTGTCCCGCCACTGATAAGCTGTGATGCTCCCTTTCGCACGCCAGATATACTGTCCCTTCTGTAGCTTAATTTGTTATCCCGTTTGATTTCGTCAGGTAAGTCGTTGCGGTTTGGGCGAACCGTTCCTGCGGCCAAAATGTTCTTTTCTTTCAAGGCCTCCATTAGGCGTGTGGACGTGAAAAAGTTATCGAAATATAGCTGCGTGCCAGCCTCTACTCGGTCAATGAGGGAGAGCACAACATGCTCACCGAGACCTACGTTCGCAGGTCGGTCTGCACCTTTACCTTCGTAGACCTGAAATTCAATCAGGTAACCTGTCTGAGAGTCGGCTCTGCACCACACCTTGTATCCCCGCTTGATAGGTTTCATTGGAAGGAACTGCTTCAGTGAGGACCGGCCTTTGAATCGTATCATACTCTCATCAATGGCTTGGTGCGCTGATGGAGTGTATTGTCTCTTGAAACTTTCATTCAGTGCAAGAATGAGAGGACGCACTCTTGCCAATCTGTCGTACCCTTCTTCACCTTTCTTTTTTTCCTTGGTTAGGTCGGTGAGGTGCAAACAGTTCATAATGGCTTGAAAACGACGGAACGACATAACCTTTGATATTTCAGGACAATTGAAAAAACTGTCACTGCTCCAGTACAGGTACATTTGATGTCTGGGGTTTGTGCTCATCAGCAGAAGTATGCCAAAGTATGCACGGAGTTCATCAATTGTAAGCTCTTTCCAACGCTGTCGGCCTTTCTGTTTGGCAAAGCGGTTTGTCTCAGTCACCAGTGTGTTCATGATACCTTCGTCAAAATAAAGAGCAGAAGCTTCACAAGGTGTCGTCGGGAGATTTGCACTGTATTGTGGGTCCCAAATTTCTGGAACACGAATGACGGCATCCAGTTCGCTGCTATTCCATGCCCCAACCTCCTCCTCTTCGACTTCTGCTTCGTCGCAAATTCTAGGCACTTTCTTCTGCCTCCTTTTCTTTCTTGAATAGGTAGCCTTTCGCTTTTGTGGTTTCCTTGTTGATTCCGCCGCTTCGGCTTCACTGCTTTGCTCATCTGAATCGGGCGGAGCGAGCTCGGGTGCGAAGTCTTCATCTGTATCTCTGTCGGAATCACTCGACGTAGGGTCGTCAGGAAGGCTAAAATATAATTCCAGCGCTTCCTCTCGCGTCAGCAATCGTTTACCTGCGTTTTTTACAAGCAAACAGAAAACAAAAGAGTTGGTGAAATGTTTCACTACACATCGAATGCAGGCAGCGGTGGCAGTAGGCTTATCCCATCGTCATGCAGTTTTTGCCCCGGCACCATTCGAAAAAGCTTTTAGGAGTAAGTATTGCTTCTATTGTTGAAAACACCCGATTATTACATGCTGGAACTATTTCTTTCGAAGCACAGAAAAGGGTACACTCACTTGTCATCTTGAATTATTCTTTTCCGGAGACTCACAATGCGGAAATTTGTTCCGCTGATAAAACAGAAAACACAATTTTGAAAATAATGTACACCTAACGCCACCTATTGTACAGCTTCCAAACGAGATTCAACAGAAGTGTAAAAACCTCAATGTAGATGGCAGCACAAAAAAATAGGCTTGATGCGTCCCATTGTTTCTCACGAGCAATTCTGTGGGGAACAAAAAATGGGACATATATTTCCCGTTGCCCTACAAGGGGTTAAGTGAAGAAAAAAAGAACACTCGAATATTGGTGAGCGAAAACAACGTCACAGTCATGCATTTGTAAACACCCACACGCTTCGAGACAGCAAACCATTCTTAGTGGTAGTGATAGTGTAGGAGTTGTTACAAGGAAGAAAAAAAGGATTCATTATCAGTTTCATCGACGAGATCATCCGGTAGACGGTTCCATTCCTGTATTGTTTTTACGAAAAAGAACTACCGAAAGAGTGGGTTTTGTGGCTGGTATTCTAATATTTTTCGTGAATGGTCTTGACGATTAGAGACGTACGTTGGTGTGAACAAATATCCAAGAGGGTTAATGGCATTTCCATTATAATATATACAATGAAGAAATTTAAGCCTCAGTTTCTCCCTCCTTATCATCAGTGTCTCCCACTTCAATGCTCGTTTCATTTCTGTGATGCTTGCAAAGGAATTATAGTTGTTGCTAAGAAATGCGGCTGCTTGGTTTTGAACTTTTTCCAATGCGTCAATCAAGTATTGCTGACGGGGATCCCAGATTACGCAAGCATAATATAGAATAGGTCTTACATACACGAGATAATTGCCGGAATGATTCCCGTGCACATGTTACGAACTGCGTTCACGAGCATAAATCACCAGCGCACTGCACCCTCTGTTACTGCGGGTCAGCAAATAGCAAATTTCATGACATGCCCTGTAAATCACGAGTATCTGCAGTCTCTCGCTACATCCGTTCTCACCACTCGCGGAGCACCAAAATGCCTTTCACAGCACCCATGTGTACCGCGGAACGCAGTCTGAGAAGCACTTGATCCACAGGAAGAATTGCTTTCAGGTCATTGTATGACTTCCCAGTTTGTAATGTTCAGAGGGTCGGTGGCGCCCGTACCTTGACAACAGACAAATGTCTGTTGAATCTCTCTTACATGTCGTCGACAGAGGACATCGCAGCTGAGGGCGACCACAGAACTGCTAAGATAAGGTCTTTGAGAAAAACGGTCCTGGCTGTGACACTGATGTCACGTTCCACGCCACATTGATCGACTGTACTGACTGCGTGCTTGGGTGCTGTGTGATGTGCTATCTTTGTTTTCTGTCGTTCTCCCTCTTTCGATCTACTCTACCCGGTTCCCACGTGTTGGGTAGCAAACCTACAAGTGGACTGCTTAACCTCCCTGCCTTTCCTTCTTTACGATTATTCTATTCTTTGTTAGCGTTATTTTTTTCGCAGTATAAATGCGACTTTCATTGTCTGCCAATATTTTTCCAGACATACCTGCACTTTAGTGAACATGGGAAAGCAGGTGCAGATTGTGTCCATCGGAGAAGACCACACTGTCCAGCTGAATACAGAGGAGCTAGAAAAAATCCTGCTGGCTTCCAAAGTGAAGGACAAAGCTGTTGCTGTGGTGTCCATAATTGGCGCTTTCCGCACGGGCAAGTCTTTCCTGATGAACTTCCTGCTCCGGTACCTTTCCAGCCCTGACAAATCGAAGTGGATGGAGGACGAGGACACCCCGGTCCAAGGGTTCAGCTGGAGCACCAGTTCCGAGCGCCACACCCAAGGCATACTTTTGTGGGACGAAGTGTTTCTAGTAAGATCACTACTCCGTCTTTCTTTTTTAGATGCGAAGCAGCTTATGGTACTCAAGAGCACCCACTATTCCTCGGAGCGCCCACTAGACAGCTCTGCGGTCTAACGCTCGCTCAATTACGGCGCATGCCCTGGTATGAGAGGAGACTGCTAGTGGCGCTGCGCTGCTCTGTATAACAAAATCGCTTACTCCTCTCTCTCTCTCTCTCTCTCTCTCTCTCTCTCACACACACAGCGTTATAGTAGTATGAGTAAGACATTATTATTTTTACTGCAGAAGAGTTATTGTAGAAGTTTTTCGTGTTCAATAAAAAAATATTGCCAGAATGACCCGGCATGCACTCAGTCATCGCCGATGCATACCGTACAGACGGCTAACAGAAAAGGCAGGAACGGAGCGGGATATGACCAGTTGCTTATGATACATAGCAGCAATAAGTATTTTACAGCAGAGCTGCTAGGGTTGATGTTCATCGTGTGTCGCAGAAACTAAGTTATCATAATGATGAACTCACGCTCAATGGCTCACGCTCGATCGCCGCCCAAGAATTTGTACAGGTGGTTAACCAGAGAATCTTAAGCGTGCCCATCAGTTCTGCTGTGACACCTCTTTGCACGGCTTTGTGCAAGATGCACAAAGATTTTTTTGAGAGTGTGTGGATTAGACGTACTAACGTCGAGACCATAAAATAAATTGTCTCGATGCCCTCTCTTGGTCTCTAAAAATGCTACGTAACATATCTATGTGATTCCTTGTGCTGCCATGGGTTCATCTGTAGTCATTTTTGTCTTCATCAGAATGGCATTGTCCTCCTTTGTGTTTACAGTATTTTTACATAACCTTGATTATTAGTTCTGACCATGGTTCTTTACTGCTTTTGCTGCCTCTGTCAATTCATGCATTATGTATACGACGTGCTTCTGTTCGACCACTGTGAAACTGAGGTGACCAGGTTCCTCTCAGGCTGCTCACTGCAGCTCGTCTTGCCTGGTCAACCTAGCAGCCTTATTGCAAATAAAGTCAATTGAATCCACTTCAATTCAACAAGAAAATGCATGTTCGTAGGTGCCTACGTCTACGGGCGACGAGTTGGCCGTGGTGCTCATGGACACACAGGGAGCGTTCGACAGCGAGTCATCAGCGGACGAGGCGACAAACCTTTTCGCTATAAGCATTCTGACAAGCTCACTGCAAATTTTCAATATTTCTCGCAACCTGCAAGAGGACAACCTTGAGCACTTGCAGCTAGTGACGGAATATGGAAAGCTCGCTCAAGAGGTATTGGATGACGCTATATAATGTTCTTCACGATGCATGTTTTACGCTATGAACTCGCTTCTGCATGGAATCGTCAGTTCATGTTATTGTGCGCTAAATTTTCAAAATATCTGGGGCCCACAAGGACGTAAAAAAACGCATAATGACTTTTTGAAATGAAGAAAGCGGAAATTCAGCGGATTCTACGTTTTGTGGAAATCAATTTCTTGTGAAACCGCCAGCCAGTATTTTTATGGTGCATTTTAATGCAATAGAGTTGATGAACATCTCTCGCAGAAATACCGGTGTTAGTGTCGCTGTCGGCGTCGTTCTTTGTGGGCGAAAAATCTGCCTCTTGTGCGTGACCATAAAGTCAAGAAGATACAAACGAAGAAATAATGAGAATGTTCGGTTTGAACGAGAATCAAACCGAAGACGCCTTCATGGTAAGCAGACTTCTTGGCTTACAAAATATTGCTTGAAACGACTTGAGAAACAAAACTACAAGGATAACATGTAATGAGAGAAGCCCGTTAGCGCATGTAATAATAATAATGCATGACATCAGCCTTGAATCACACCGGGTGTCAAAACATGTGAATCGCGCAATGAGTGGGTATTTTAAAGCCAGCCCACAACATTATGTGAAGACCTAATGAATTATCACCATCGGTAGGGCAGGAAGCAAACAGAATGGAAAAAGGAGTAGGGAGGTCAACCAGAAAAGCTTCCGGCTGGCTACCCTACACTGGTAGATTAGGGAAGGGGAATAGAATTATGGCAAAGAGAGGGGAGCGAATAAAAGGAAAGGAAAGGAAGGAAGAGACAGTAAATTTACTGCAGCTTGTAGAACCTCACTGCAAGTCAGTCACGGGCGTTCACACAAAGCCATCGTCCTCAAAAAGCACAGGATGGTTTTCAGTGCCATGTAGCGGGCTGTAGAGAGAATGTGGATGGAGCTGTAATACCACCTGCACAGAGAAGTGACCGATCATCCAGTCTCCGCAATGCGTTGCCAAGTACTTCTCTCTCTGAGGCGAATGGAGGACAGTGACACAGCAGATGTTCGACATTTTCGTCGGTGCCGCAAACATCGCACGCAGCGCTGTCAGTCATTCCTGATTACTGTCAGGTGCCTTAAAGAGTATCAACAAAAGCATGCAAAAGCATCAACAAAGCTGCGCAGAATTTCATGGCGCCTTGCAGACGCAGAAAAGGCCCTTCGATGATTCACAAAGGAATAGTAAGCGTATGTAATATAGGGAGCACTTAACAATTGTGCTTGCTACAGACGCTGAATGATACTTCGAAAGGGCCACTGTCACGTGCACTGTCATTCGTTTCCTTCTGGCATGGTTGAGGCATGCACCAAAAACTGAAGCAGGCTAGCAGTTGAGAAAGCGCTGTGCATGTGTACCAATTACGCTGTCACATTCTACTCTTGAAGGCGAAGCTCGAAGTTCTTTGGCACAAAGCCCTTGATTTTTTCATGGTAGGTAATAGGTTAGAGAACCCCGAAATTGTTAACATTATTACCGAGTCACGATGTCTCTCATAAACATAGCTTGTGTCTGCACGCTCAACCCCCAAAATTATTTATATTGGCCGAACACTACATTTATAAGCAGACTCAAGCAAGCGAAGAAACTGAAACACTACGTAAGGCGAATTAAATGACACCTCGCAGTTATCTTGTGAGGCATACAGTTCGATGCCCCATCACCGCAGAAGCTAATGCAGGAGGAAGCTTTACCGCATTAGGTAACTTCGCAGAGTAAATATTCGAGTTGTCCGCTTCTCTATTCGTATAGCATGAATTATACCAGTGGCACAAATAAGGTGAAATGGACGCATCGAGGCATTTAGAATCCATTGCACCTATGTTCAGAACAGTTCAGTGGCTCAGGAGAACGAGCCCCTGCACGCATATTGTAAACAAGACAGCTTTTTTTTTTTGCGCAACTGTTTGCAAACATTTTAGGTTACATGCCTATAATATCGTTCACTTCACACGATGGCAGCAGATAGGGTTTGGTTGTCAAGATAAAAAAGCTTCCCAGTGTCGACAACTATACGTGTACAGGCGTCGTTCATGGGCCCTGCTTGAAATTTTACCGTCAAGACACATCGCAGGTGGCATCAAAATTGAGTTTATTCTGCCGAAATGGGGTGCTAGGTTTCAATATTTCCCTCTGAATGTATTGAGCAGGATCCAACCAGGTGACATGATAGAAGGTTGGTACGCGCACCGCCATCTTTTCCTTGCTTGGGCATAGTGCTTATGATATACTGTGATCACGCTTTGCGCCTCTGCCTAGAAGTAACGATCTAACATTAATTCCACAATTGATCGCGTTCTCTGAAAAGCATCTGCTATGATTGACTTACCTGTGCTCGAATCAACTGGCGTACGATGGCTAGCATTCAATTTCATTGTGCTCATGACATAATACTGACAGCCAGGCAGCAAGCACCCCTGGTGGAAATAGTGGCGATAAAGGCTGCAGTTTACTTGCTAATGAAGGCGATGTTTACACCAATTTGTCACTGCAGAAAAAATCTTCAGATGTGTACTGTAAGCATAGCAGTAAGCTTTTCATTTATTATCATTAATATTCGATAGAAGTGAGACAAGCTGCATGAGGTTGCTGCTTGCGCACCGCTATTGCCTTCGAGGATGGATATGTTCATTGTGCTAGTGAAATGAAATAGCCTGCCCGAAAGAGGACAAACTGAGAGTGTAACTAACTTAAAGAAAAAGGTAGGTCTGCCTAGTTTCCCCATGTGCGTCAAAATTGCAAGACTCTTTCATAAGTTTATTCATGTTATGCGTAGCAGTTACCCCATCAATTCAGCTCATCGATCGATTGATTGATACGTAGGGTTTAACTTCCCAAAACCACCATACGATTATGAGAGACGCCATAGTGGAGGGCCATCTGGAGTTCCTTAACGTGCACCCAAATCTGAGCACACGAGCCTACAGTTTTTTCGCCTCCATCGAACATGCAGCCACCGCAGCAACGGTTCGATCCCGCGACCTGTGGGTCAGCAACCGAGTGCCTTAGCCACTAGACCACCACAGAGGGGAATCCCACTCATCACATTTTTTATCGCATCAGCCACAATAAAGCCGTATGCCCTCCCTGTCCCCGCACCGCCATGCACCTGAAGATCATTCTTTCTGAAGACTGCCATCGACTGGAAAAATATTCCCTCAGACATTGTCTTTCAGTCAACCACGCTCATTTCAAGCATTCCGTTGAGTCACATTTTGTAAATGTCAACTAACCTCTTTGTTCCTACCCCTCATGTAAATCCTGTGTACCGGGTAAATGAGCTATTTTCAATTAAAAAAAATTGCCCACCGTGGTGGTCTAGTGGTTAAGGTCTGCTGACCCGCTGGTCGCGGGATCAAATCCCGGCTGGGGCGGCTGCATTTCTTATGGAGGCGAAAATTATGGAGGCGAAAATGTTGTAGGCCCGCGTGCTCAGATTTGGGTGAACGTTTTCTGATATTTGGGTGCACCCCAGGTGGTCGAAATTTCCGAAGCCCGCCACTACGGCGTCTCTTATAACCTTATGGTGATTTCAGAACGTAAAACCCACATATCAATCAATCAATTAATGAATCAATTAAAAATGGTCCACGAACACGCCTGCTGTAGAACGTGCGATGTTGAATTAGCAAAAAGTATAGATAGCGCCACAGTGGCACGCTGACGTCACCGCGCTGTTGGAATATTGACTGAACGGCGGCGCTGACAAAATCGCATGCGTTGTTTGAAAACAGCCTTGAGCGCATTTGTGACGTCACGCTCGTTCTTGTCGACATTGCCGTCGCGCGCTTCGCACCGTTTTCCTGACAGGATTGCTGCTGTAGCTCGGAGCGTACTCATGTTCCCGAGAAGTTTGCGCCATAAAGCACAGCGCCCCGGGTAGCAAAAGTAAAGCAGACGACGAATGCCCGTACAGTGTGTAGCATGTTATCAATAAACACGATGCTTAATGAACAACTTAATATCATTGGTCGAATAATTTACGTTTCGAGTTTTCCTGTTCTGATTCTAGATGTCAACTAACATCTCTGGCTTCGTCATGACCATACTTTCGTTTGTACCAAGCACGAGTCAGTCGCGCATTTGTTTCCATTATTGACATGAAGCGTGTAATTGGTGCGTAGGTAGCGAGAATAATTAATCACTTATGCCTCCTTGCTATTGCAGGACACAGAAGGAACCATGTTTCAGAAGCTTGCGTTTCTGATTAGGGACTGGCAGTTCCCGGATAAAGCCTATGGGGCCACGGGGGGTCGCCAACTCTTGGAAAAATTCATGTCAACGGGTACGAAAGACCAAGATAAAAATAGCATTCGACAATGTCTCTCTTCTTGCTTCTCGTCAATCGAGTGCTTCCTCATGCCTCACCTGGGAAAGGTAAGCGTACCAAACTATGGGGGCCTCACATGCGATGGAAAAACATTACCATTCCATTCCATCGCATCCCATGCCATCCATCCCATCCATTCATCCATTCTATCATTCCATTCTAACATTCCATTCTATCCAACCTCATTCCAGCCCATCCCATTCCATTCCATTTCATTCATCCATACATCCATACATTCATCTTGCATTTACGTAACGAAGCCGTGATCCTAATAAATAACGGTGTTTTTAAAGGAATACGCACCAGAATAATCGGGGAATAATATGCAGCGACAACGAAGTAATTGATTTTTATAACAGAAAGGTCATGACAAGCCCGTATGGTAAGTCATGGCATTGATGACACGATGCCGTGAGGATCCATTCTCTAACCTCGAATTAAAAAAGAATTGGCAGATCCCACGTACCTTGGGAATCGACGTTATCCGAAGCATGCGCAGGAAAGGTGACGCTATCGTAATTAGCGGAACGTTACTAAACAACGTTAAACATATGCAAAAATATCGTAAACACAAGTATATGCAGAAGAGACCGACATGTTTTATATAACCAGTTTTTTAGACATGCGTAACGATGCCAACAGCAACATGAGCGTTAGCAACACGAGACGAGGTAAGGTGTTAATGTCGCAAGGTTATGACAGTGGACGAAGGCAGTAGTAGACGTGCTCAAAATTCAACTCTTTATTTCGCCAATCCTGCGCCGGGAAAGTCAGATTACAGACACAAGGCATGCTGTACAAAAAGGCAAAGCCCGGAAAACGGCTTTGGAATTTGTTCAACAAAGGACCGATATACCATAACGCTTCGAAGCGCCTATACGACACTATTGGCCTGTTCACTTTTTTAACGTGATAGCAGTTAAAGAGCTCGTTTCATTGAAAATTCCGGTGTCGGTGTGCGTCGATGTCAGCGTCGTTGGTTGTGAGAGAAAAATTATCTCATGCGTGACAGAAAAATCGAAAGGGACGCAAATAAAAAGAAAATCAAATTCTGGGTCCGAATGGGGATAGAACCTGGCACCTTTGCGTAGTGTGGGGATCGAAACGAAGTCGTTTGTATGGCAAGCGGATGTTCTACCACATGGACCAAGCGTCTGCTTTTTTTGTATTACTTTTGCGCATCATACAGTAAAAATACAGTGCATAAACAGTAGATGCCGAGGTGATGAACGGAATGCTTACATAATTTCTTCATACGGATTAGTGGCTCAAAGTATGGTGAAGCATCTGCTTTTGAATGCACTGACAATACCTACCTCTGCCTATAGTCCCACCTTTGCCAACTGCTCACTAGTTCGTCCTTGCAAACATCCCACTGCGCCCCACCACCGATCCACCAAGGCCACCGACCATAAAGCAAATTCTGTTTAGAAGCAGCCAATATTAAATGCAAGATGGTCGTGTACTTGTAGGTGCGTGTTAAAGAACCGTAAATTCTGCCACTGTGTTCATTCCTTGTTTGTACGTGACCGCCTATAGTTCCACCTTTCCAAACTGCCCGCTACTTCACCCTTGCAAACATCCCACTATGTTCGATCAGCGATCCACCACTTCCCCGACCACAAATCCATTATAATGAAGGGGGAACGGAAGCGACGTATAGCTATCACTAAAGAATAATATTATTTCTTGCATAAATATATACAGTGTTTCGTCACGTCTTTGATGATATAGTAGGCATTATCCGCGGATAGTTCACGGTTTAGCGATGAAATCCTCTAATGCTTCGTCCCACTCATCAACATTGACTAAGTGGATACGCCCCGATTTTTCTCTCTTTGTTCTTTTGGCTCTCCTTTCTTACTCCTTCTCTCTATATTTTTTCAACTATCTTGTGTGTGTGCATTTTTGCTTCTGTCTTTCTACCGGCATTCATTTTTCTTTATAGCTCTTTCTTTTCTGTTCTTTCTGTGTTCCCTTTGTTTCGCTGTCTCTACCTTTGATGGATTTGAGGGGTTTAACGTCCCAAAACTGCCATATAATTAGGAGAGACGCCGTAGTGAAGGGCTCCGAAAATTTCGACCACCTGGTGTTCTTTAACGTGCACCCAAATCTGAGCACACGGGCCTACAGCATTTTCGCCTCCATCGAAAATGCTGCCGACGCATCGATCCTGTGACGTGCGGGTCAGCAGCCGAGTACCTTAGACACTAGACCACCACGGCGAGGCACTGTATCTATCCTGATTTCTTTCTTGCTTTCCTTGTCTTACTGTCCTGCTCTTTCTTTCTTCATATCTTTTTTGTGTCTGTTTGTTACTATATATTTTTTTCTCTCAATACCTTCTCTGTCGTTTCATTACTTTTTGTGTCTCCCTTTCCTTTATATTTCTTCCGTTTTTAACTCTTTCTTTTCTCTTTCTCCCTCCCTGTATTCATTCCCTTTCTCATTAGTGTTATGGCAGTTCACGCCGGACAAATTGGCGCACGTGTTCCGAGTGCGAAGCAGACAAGGAAGAAGAGTCCGCGTGCCCGTTCAAGGTGGCGATCATTTACTGTTCGCTACACAAGAACTAACGGTCTGCTTATACAGCTGCATCGCTAAAATTTGTGCTGTTCTGGGTTCGAACCTGGGACCAATGCGAATGCGTGGGTTGCGCTCACTTCCGTTTCATATAGCCTTTTTTATTGCGCTTTATATCCTTTTCACAGCGGCTTCTGTATTCCACAATTCCTTTCATAACCCTTCCGGTATTCCGCGGAAAGCATTTGCAATAACGCGATAGTGAATGGGAATACGAACAGATGAACGGTAAATTTTTTTCATGTGTGCGTTTTCTGCAACACCGCGGTTGCCTCCATCGCGCAGGAGACAACACGAGAGTCGTTTGACGGCAGATTGTGCAAGCTTGACGACGACTTCAAGCGGGAGCTGGGAGTTCTAGTACCATGGCTCGTTGGAGCAGAAAATCTTACCGCCAAGGAGATTGCTGGCAAGAGAATCACCTGCGAGCATCTGATGAACTATTTCAAGGTAACCTGTACACTTCTCCTTTTGACGCATTTAGGCTTAACTTATTTCCGCAGGTGTACACCGACGTCTTCAAAGAGCAACAGCCTCGTGTAGCAACAATTCTGCAAGTAAGACTTCATTTGGTTTTCGCAGAAACACGCCTTCTGTATACCATGCTCCTTCAAAGTTGTTCAAGTATATTTTACCATATATGTATAACAGTACAGAATAAACGTGGAATAATTCGACAACAGGAGGATAGCCTTGTTTCTACCAGAAGGAGTGCTAAGGGATACTAACACTTTGAATTGATTTTTAAGCTGATGCGTTGACCACCTCAGTGACATTAGGCTAATACGATTTCTCAACATATTCGGACGATGAATTAGAAATGATTACTTTTTTTTTTCATGTATTTCCAGGCGACAGTTGAAGAAAGCAACAGAAGTGCGAAGGAGGAAGCCAAGGCATTCTACGCGGAGCAGCTCCCTAAGGTTAGGGGTTAACAAGTGTCACATATTTTTTTCACCATCTCAATTATATGCCACTGTTTTATGCAGGTGACATACAAAAACTTTCAAGAGCTGGAGGAAAATCACGTGATTCTGCAAGAACAAGCCAAGAAATTATTTCGGGATGCTCGAAAGATTGGCGGTCCGATAATCGAAAGGCGATACTTGGACGTTCTCGAAATGGTTTGTTAGAACTTTCGCATATTTATCTAGTACTCTTAAACGAGAGAGTTGCGTTTGTATTGCGTAAGCTGACGGGTCACCGGCGTCATACGTAAAGTGCAGACAACAGGAAGCCTTGATGGCATATATAAACTCTCCTCCACAGGGGTGATGGCATGTATAGGGCAATGTCGCCATTGTGGTACAACCACAGCATACGCGATCCACTGGAATGAACTGTATTGCGTGCGGTTGGCACTACAACTAATGGCACGGTACACGATAGCATAATTTTCGTTCTTGCATTCAGCACTTCTCCCGTAAACTGATTCAATGCAAACATTATTGTCAACAAAAAAAGTGATGATATTTGGGGCTTAACGTCCCAATACCAGCCCACGATTATGACAGACAACGTAGTGGAGGGCTCCGGAAATTTCGACCATCTGGGGTTCTTTAACGTGCACCCAAATCTGAGCACACGGGCCTACAACATTTCCGCCTCCATCCCTTTTTATGGAAACAAACAAACAGCAAAGAACACGTGAGAATAGGGAAACTTACAATAATAATGCACACCGAAATTATTAGTCAGCGTGCCATCGGTTCATCTGTGCAGTCGTAAAATCACCTCCTTGTCGAAAATTTCACTGCCTATTTTTCCTACGAATCTGACATGATCACTGCTAGTTTATCCCTGCGCAGTCACTGTGCTTTTTTGTTGTTCTTATCCGCAAAGCTTTCACGTATATTTCGCGTCCAAACAATAAACCATTGGTTGTTAGTTCAGAGCCTTCGTCTGTCGTCGTTTCACCACCCCGTTTCAAGCGCGGTTTGTTTCAGTCTTAATCGTGTCATGCTATCACGTGACATTGGCGTCGGTAAGTAAGGACATTAATGTGGTCGCCGCACTCAAACACGCCATGCTTTCGCATCTAGTACAAGAACCATATGTGCACCTTACTAGTGAAGATCACGATCCCTTATTCACGATTCCTCATCGCAGTATACCGCATTGTATTGTAATGCTTTAATGTGGTGCGCGGGGAACCAAACTGCTATGTTTTTTGGACCGTTGTCCATAGCACACGTTTCACATATTTCTATTGATAAGCATCCTTGTAGAAAGAAGGTGGCAGCCTTTTTGAGCGAGTCGAGGTGTTTGTCTCTTATTTATTTTTTAACTCTCTCTTTCTCTTTCAACCCCCTATTCCCCAACTCCAGTGTAGGGTAGCATACCGGATACTAGCATCTGGTTAATCCTCTTCGCTTTCCTTCTTTCTCGTTTCTCTCTCTCTCTCTGCAACAAGGCATGCTGCGATATTCAGCAGTGCAGGTCATAGAGAGAGAGAGAGAACTCACACTTAATACACGCTTGGCTCGCACGTTCTTTATGCGGTGATCTCTCAATGTCAGTTCGCAGGAAATCGGGACGATCTTCAAGGACTTTTCTTACGACCACAAACTGTCAGACTTGAGGGAAAAGGAAAGGGGACTCAATGAAAAAACCAAGCGTTGGAGAAGAAAGAAAAGGAGCTTGGAAGTTTGAAAGAACAGTTGAGAAAGAAAAGCAGGGGCGTTTCAGAGAAGGAGAAAAAGCTACAAGAAGAAGCACAGAACCTTTTTCGCCAGAAGATGGAGCACGAAAAATCCAAGAAGGCCCAGGAGAAATCAAATCGGTGGACAACGCATGTTGCGGATGCCGTGATGGGCATAGGAGTCGCACTCAGCGTTTTTGTGCCCGCGGCAGGAGTGCTTGACGGGATTGTTCCCGTAATACGTATTGGAGTGGCAGCCGCAGCAGCCGGAACAGCTGGCGGCTGTTTCGTGGCATTGAAGAAAAAATTAGGCCAATGGTTTGGTACGTGTGTGGTTTCTTTCACATTGCTGTATAGCCCATAGTTAGCGCTTGGTAAACTAGACAGCTGGTCTGCAGAAAAGCAAGAAAAATGGCCCTGTATATGCATGTTTCACTGGAAAATGACATCGAAAGACGATAGTCTGGCGTCTAGAGGGAGTGAATAAAACGTTTATTTGACGTTCTGCGCGAAAAAGTCGGCGAATGGGATTCACGAGGCGCTGCGTGAGACATGCGCGCCATCTGGCAGTAATCTTGGGAAACGAAAGGATGGCCTCCGATATAGCGAGCGCGCAGCGTGTGTGCACAATCTTGTAATAAATTGTCGCGATACAAGCCAACCGAACGCTTAGTTTGAGAAAAAAAGTGTGGCAGATTGAAGTACCAGCAATTTACCCCCTGTAAAAAAAAAGTCTTGCCCTACACCAGGTGGATAAAGCACGAAAGCTGCTGGGCATACGATACTTCATGGTTATCTGTGCTCATGCCGTATGTTCTGTGTCGTATGTCCTATAACACAATTTTTTTGATGCGCATAAACAACATAACCAAGTTTTCGCTATACTCATGCGAAGTGCTGATGCACAGTTGAACATTCGCAAATATTGCAACAAATTTTTCACGTTCATTGCAAGTCGTGGAGAGCAAATTTCAAATTGACGCATGCCAAGTTGTACTAAATGTCAAGCGCTTCTCTGTGACAGTGTCTTCACTGAGGACGTTGTCGAAGTGAATGGTAGATGCGCAGTTTCATGCGTTGGTTTCGGTTTCTCCAGCTAAATTAGAGTCAACGCGCTGCTCCGTGGTGATTACCAATGGCCTGTTTTTTCCAAAATTTTGAAGGGTGGCTATGTACTATTCGTAATAATTTTTATGATAATAATTTGATAATAATAAGACGCCAAAAATGATAATTTTTCGTGTCTTACGTCTCAAAACCACGATGTTATAATGAGACACACCGTCGTGGAGAGCTCCAGAAATTTCGATCGCCTCGTTTCCTTTGGCGTGCACCTAAATCTAAGTGTTTTTTCCAGTCATTGAATATGCATACAAGCGATCAGCCAGCATTCGGATCTAACCTCGTGCTTGGGCTATTTCGGCAGAACATTGCACGTAGCTCTTCCTGCTGTGCATTCATGTGGAAAGTGACCTCGATTCAAGTGCATATAGTTTGGCTGAACAGGACATTCAAAATATATTTTTTGTCACACCATATTTTATTGAGTCCACAAGCTGCCTTTAGGTGTGCGGAAATTCACAAGCCAAGCTAACAAACAAATTTGTGTGGCTTGCTTTGCAGGATAGCAGGTGTTCCGAAAGTCAAGTACCATACCTGTGATCTCCAAGCAAAACGCCCAGCGCGAAACATTATCGCCGTCTCGCCCAAGGCACGTGATAAACAAAACTGTTCACTGGACAGCACAACTACGGGCTTGGCCAAGGTTTCCACTGACTTTCGAGTGAAACGACGTGTGAAAAGTCGCCAAAAGTGGTCCATTCTTTAGAATTTTCGCCAAAAATGTCGCTACTATACATACACGTGGCGTGCTTTGTAATAAAATTGCTTTTTACCATCCCGAAGCTCCTAAAAATATTGATGTTTATTTCAATCCCAGTCACATTACTTGCTTCACCGTGGGGGCACTGACAAAGGACCTGCATGTTGTCAGCAGCGTCCCTGAGAATTCTAGAGCCTCATAACAAAATTTCTAATGATTTCAGTTGTAGCCAAAAAGTCGCTACAATAAGACAGAGACCACGTGCGTTGCCTTCCTGCAGATTTAAAGAATTAGTGGAATCATGTGTCCGATAATTGAAATACCTACTTACGAAACAACAAAAATAAATTTAAAAGTACTCCGTAACCATCGCAAAGGGAGCACCACGCGTTCGTCGCTGATATCGCTTGTATTACGCCACACACTCGCCTAAGGGCAGTTTCCGAAGGCTGTCCAAAGAGGCCGACATCTTGGCCGGTACGAAAAGCATGTTAATAAAAAATTTAAACTATACATGGTGAATTCGGGGGTGTTACAGCACTGAAGAAGTCTACAAGCCGTTCAGGACAGTTGGAACTGTAGTATAGAGAACAAGCAGCCAAACCATCACCTAGCCACTTCCGAAGCGAAAGTTTAAATTAGCTGAAAGCTCTTAAAGCTTAATGTAAAATTGGCAGCGCGAACTAACGGAACGCAAAGGAGGACATGTCTTCCTTTGCATTCGTTTGTGCAGAGGCAACCTAATTTTTTCATCGAAGCTAATATATACCAGAAAAACAAGCGAAAGGGAAACAACACAAGAGGGAATGTTCTACCGCGATCAAGTGTCCTCCATAAACGAGATTTCACAATGTATAAGGAATATAGACGGGGAGCTGACGCAACTATCAATTATTCTTTTTTATGAAAAAGGCTTTCCGAAATCTCACTAGTTAGAGGTAACGATGGGTGTATCTTTCAGACGTGCGCGAAAATTCAGGTATACGCAGCCACACTTCATGCAACGGTCAGACAAATGTAAGCCCGGGGCCGATTTCAGCGCATTATACTATAGCTGGCAAACGTTCAGGCAGCGCCCAGTCTGCCCGATATATACCCTCTCAGAAGACAGTGGGATACAATAAACTACGTTCGACCGACTATTGGCGAATCAATTGATATGTTTAACAGCCACAGACTTTCTTCGCGAGGCCTGCCTTCATTCTGCTTTTCAAGTCAATTACAGAACACATTCGCAGCAATTTTCCGCTTTATATATTCATACAGCCAGTTGTTTACAGTTGGGTAACGGTGGCAGCAGCAACATGCTTGTTACCAACACCAGAAGTGGTGAGATGATATATAGTGATTGAGCTGATATATAGTGGTTGTGATATATAGTAGCTCTGGCTAGTGCTACGTATTCAGTGGAGGGCGCTTGCCTTCGCAATTGATGTTAAGCCCTATGCGAGACCTGTATCACAGCACTACATCATCATCACCATCAGACTGACAATGCCCACTGCGGAAAAAAAAAAAGGCCTCTCCCATGTTTGTTCCGCCAGTCAACTCGGTCCTGTGCTTACTGCTGTCGCTTATAAACGCAAACTTCCTAATCTCATTGCCCAGCTAACTTTCTGTTTCCCCCTCAACCGCTTGCCTTCTCCGGGGATCCAGTCTGCGATTCTTAATGCCCATCGGTTATCTTGCCTTCATGCCGCGTGCCCAGCCCATGACCATTTCTTCTTCTTGATTTCAAATACGATGTCCTTAAAGCCCTTTGCTTCCTGCTACACTCTGCTCTCTTCTTGTACTTCAGGGTTACATCCACCGTTTCCCTTTCCATAGCTCACGGCGTCGTTTTCAACTTCAGTTGAACCCTTTTTGTAATCCTCCAGATTTCTGCTCCGTAAATAAGTAGAGGTAAAATACAGCTGTTGTATACCTTTCTCTTGAGGGGAAGTGGAAATCTACCCTTCACGATTTGATAATGCTTGACGAATGTGTTCTATTCCATTCATACCCTTTTATTGACTTTAATGTCCCGGTTTGGCTCCGTGATTACCACCTGTCCTTAGCAGACTTGCTCTTTTACAACTTCAAGTGTACTGTTATCTATTTTGAAGCGTTGTTCTCTTCAGAGGTCGTTGTACATTACTTTCGTTTTCTACAGATTAATTTCACGATCTACCTTTCTGCTCTCCTTGTCTGATTCAATTATAAATTTCAAGTTTGTCCCCTGAATTACTCAGCAAGTTCAATGTCATCGGTGAAGCGCAGGTTAATGAGGTACTCTCCATTCACTATTCCTAACTCTTCCCATTGTAGGCCTCTGAAAACCCCATGTAAGTACGTGGTAAATAGCATTGGGGATATTGTATCTCCTTGTATTACACCCTTCTTTATTGGTATCCTGTCACTTTTTTCAAGCAGCACTATGGTGGCATTTGATCCGCTGTAGATTTCATCCAGGATGTGTATATATGCTTTATCGACGCCCTGATTATCCAGTGTTTGCACGACATGTTGATATCTCCCCCTAATCAAATGCCTTCTCGTAATCAATAAAGGCTATGTATAGTGGTTGGGTGTATTGTAAGCACTTCTCTATCACATGATTGATAGAATGAATGCGGTCAATGTGGTTGTTATATATGTGGTACAAATACATAAAATTGACTAGGGGGGACACAAATCAGTCCATGGTGGCCTTTTCGTATTTTATATAAGGGTTTTATCTTTGATTACCTAAGAATGAAAACATATGCTTTAAAATAAATGAAAAAGGAGCATGGCGTCCGAGCTTGAGTAACTGGATTGTTCTATTAAGTCTTCCTTGAACCGACGGAGTGGTTTATGCAATTTTTTTTGGTCCCGTACTGCGGAGAGCATTGAACTATGACCTCCGCTATACAGATGAGGTAGTAGTTGAATACTTGTGCTCATAACACAGCCTCATCCTTTATAAGAAGAGGTCGAGTATTGAGCGAAGGTGCCCACTAAAAATATAATCAACCTTGAAGAAAGTTGAATGTGCTGGACTTGACGGTCAAGTGGCACAAATGTTGTTGGTTGCCCATAAGCTAAATATTAATGGGAACACTTGCAAGCCCCCCCCCCCCCTCCCCATCTGAGCTTAAAGTGGTCCAGACCCCCCTCCAGGTTTCCATGAAGGTTGTGCCCAACAAAGAGACGAACCATCGAAAATTGTGCTTCATTCGCTCTTGTAGCCTATGAGACCTGCACTGCTGAATATCACATTCGTATATAGGGCAATAGTGAAGGAAAAGATGGGTTGGATCTGTTTGAGGGTTTATTTTTTCTGTTGGTATTTAGCACCCTGCGAGTAGTTATTGCTGCCGATTACCACAGTACGTCGGTGGGAGGCTTGTAGTCTGATAGGTAAACTACATCCCAGTCTGCCATGTAGAACTGTGGGTACCCGAGTATGATTCTTCGTCGAAACTTAACCTCATGCATGACGTTACCTAGGCTGCTGCTTCCATGGGGAAGGAACACATTGGTTAGCAAGTTTCCCTTTTTGTCTCAGATCCCCGCTTTTCCTTTCCAACTTTGAAATGAAAAAATAACAAACAAGACAAGCCCTCCGCTTTGGTGTAAGGTCCTATATTACGTGTCTTGAGCATGCACCTTATCTTATCTACTAAATGAGATCTCTCTTAGCTTAATAAGACTGCAGCCCGCCATTGCAAGGAGCTGTAGGCCCCGTGTAATCACTCTAGAGAAGGGCTTCCGCTCAGCGGAGACTAGCAAACAGCCCGAAGAAGGTAATGTAGTGCAATGGTTGCCAGCATGCCCTTTTCTGGACTCACTCCAATCTAAGCGAGAGCAATACTGGTTCAAAAACAAACAAACAAAAAGATGAAAGTATGAGGTCTCGGTGCAGCGGAAGAATCACTCCACTGCAGTGACGATCCGCTGGCAGCTTGTTTCAGATGACAGTCCGCTAGAGCGGGCAGCATAGACGTCCCGCTCGTTTTTCCTCGGTCGGCTATCAGAACGATTCAACGGCCGGTGCGCGAGTAGTGGCTGCTCATTAACCCGATTGGACCGTAACCGGAAGTTATGCCACCGGTGACGCGTGACGTCCACCACGTCGAGGTCCTTCAAAAGCAGCCCGCTCGGGTCGTCGCCAAGTGCAGACGGCATGGAACGTCGCAGGCGAGCTCTGGTCCTGCTGGTCCTGTTCCTCGTGGAGTCAGGTACGTCTTCTGAAGGACTATGCGTTTACCCTGCCTCTCGCGGTTGCTTGTAGAGGTGCCGGAGACCTTACGCACCTTACAAAGTATTCCGTTGGTTACGAGAAACACGGCTACGAGCAATCAGTGTTTCATACTTAATCGACGTAGCGCGTTTTGAAACATAGGACAAGGGAAGAGACAGAAGGGAGCGCTTTAGGAGGAGAACACACAAAAGGCCCGTTGTACTAGAAAGGTAATTGACTAGAGTATAATTGACTAGAGTTTCAAAACGCGCTACGTCGATTAAGTATGTCTTACCAACTTGCCCAACTTTATACTCTAGTCAGTGTTTCATGTCTTCCTGTTTCATGTCGCGCTACTCAGATCGAAGGTGCGAATTCGAAATCCGGCTCCAGGGGCCACATTACGATGTGGTGGAAGAGCATGGAATATCCGTGTACCTAAATTTGGGCGAATATAGGTTTAAAAACACCGGGGAGCGGAAATTTTCGTGGCTGATTTTGCATAGTGATGACATTGCTATGACTGTTTTTTTTACTGCAAATAAAACCTCTGAGATGCTCTCACAAAACTGCGCGCGTGTGCTACTTAATGTGCTGTGTTTATCTCTCTACCCTCTCTTATCTTTCATCTCCCCCATCCCCCTTCTATGCGCAGGGTAGCAAACCGGTTGCCTATAGACTGGTTAACCTCCCTGCTGATCTCTTCCTCATATTTTTTCCTTCCTTCCTCTCACCAAACAAAAAAAAATAACTCATGCTAAACAAAATTTGTTAATTATGACAATTACTGCGGAGGTTTTACGTTCCGAAACCATGAAGTGATTGTGAGGTACGCCGTAGTGCGTATCATAATGTGGCTTCCACGGCCAGGATTCGATCACGCAGTATTTGGGTCAGCGTATCAGCAGCGCACACAATTATGGCGGGAGTAAAATTAGTTCATTTAAGGAAGACTGTAGAATTTTAACTTCGCTTTTGTAATTCTTACGAACCGTGACTTTTGCGAAAACACGTGAAAAAAAGAAAAAGCTACCGTAAGGCCATGAATTCAAGCATAAGGTTTACAGCTTCCTGATTTGGCACAAAAAAAGCCAGAATTATAGTTATGTGAGCTGTGTCCGCTATATTGACCAAATTACAGAAATATGAAGCGTTTCTTTAAACACCCTTGGTAAAATTTTTACGTTATCTACTTGAGGTTTCCGAAGGCTTTTTTTACACAAGAGTTTGGCATGATGAGGACATGTTATGTCAATTTTGTCCCGATATACGCATCCCACAATAGGGGGAGAAAAGAATCATTATAGCATCTTTTCTACCGATTCTCCCAGTACGCCTGCTTTACATTAGCACTTACGTGATTTAAGAAGTATTAACAGAGTAAACAATATCTGCTGTCTACGCTTAGCTGATTTTCAGCTTTTACTCTAACTATTTAACTAACTAACTAACTAACTAACTAACTAACTAACTAACTAACTAACTAACTAACTAACTAACTAACTAACTAACTAACTAACTAACTAACTAACTAACTAACTAACCAACTAACTTCGCACTCTTTGCAGCGTATACCGGGAAGAATAATTTTTCCATTCACATGTATTTAATAGTAGAGTCATTTAAAGTTGTCTTAAAATTTTACAGCACATTCTCTTGCACTCAATAATGTAGAAAAGAAAATCACCTGGTTCAAGTAAATCATCACTTATACGCCACACGGAGAGTATGTGCAAATGAAGATAAACGCAGTATATATGAACTGACCAGAGTTGCCATTGATAGGAATTTAAAAGGTGCTAGAACTTATGGAGGAAGAAATGCTAGAACCCGAGCCAAATGTAGGCAATGTAGCCAGGTCATTTAATGTTGTTCGTCACATTTGTAGCCAAACAGAACAGGAGTGGTTATATCAACCGAGTCTCTACTATTCATGAATAAACAAAACCATTAGCAATAAGTAAAACCAGGAGTTCAAACGTAGCAATAAAATAGCTATGGCGCCAACTGAAAATATGCGTCACCAAATGGGTCAAAAAGCAGCCGATTTGGCGCAGTGTAGCCACCAACGTCAATCCTGACTGCGATTCTATAATGGCCTCCGAGATTTAAACACACGAGCGGTTTCAATCTCAGATGCGAGAGCCGCTTTCAGTACGTGCCATAGATGGCACGAGCGTCGTGCCAGCAACCTAAAGTTTCATGTAGCATGCAGGAAGAAAAACGAGAGGGAGCATTATAAAGATACTAAAGAGCAAAACGATTTTTTTTGCACATTAGTAAAGTACATATACACAATTCCGAAAACACCACGTTTACTGCAAGACGATAGTTAGTGAGAAAGCGCGCGAAAATAAAACGCAGGTGCAGATGCCACCTTCATGTTGCCGCACCAAACACCGTCACATTTGGTGCAGCCCGGATTCGAAATTGTGACCTTCGGGTTAGCAGTCGAGTGACATAATCACTGGACCACTGCGGCGGGGCTAGCATGTATTAAGGTGAGAGCCTTAGCCGTCTTATAGAACGCACCATCATGTGGTGTCGACGCAAAGACAAAGGAGGGGCGATCCCTGTGGTAATGAAAAGCCACATTAGGCGCGAAAACTTTGCAATACCTTCGATCTCGGAGGCCATGCAAAAATTATTTAAGAAGGCTTAACTTTTCCAATCGCTTCAGTAAATACATAAGGAGCCGTGGGACTTGGTTATCAAATACATCCCTCACAAATCTCGGGTGCCTCTTTTCGAAGTCACGGCCAGAGGGCAGTTAGGCCACCTTTTATTGTCGACCTTAGGCATCTGTCATGGCATATCGAGTTATATAAAGGAGACAATGTGGTACCACTAATACCATGTGCTATAGCTTTCCCGCGCTACAGCCCCCATACCATGAGTTAATTTCCTCCTCCTCGACTAGCTTCTACACTAGCCTAGGAGGGAAGATGTTTGAGCTCTTAGTTTCGAATGAACGCATTTCTCATTATTGCATTGTGCAGTGTACGTTAAATGGACCAGAACTGAGTTTCTTTTTTGATGCATGGTGCAGCATTCCTACCTGTCCAATGCCAGGTATTGAGAACCAACCACCCTCCACCCTTCAACTTTAGCAGCGGCATCGTGCGGCTCATCATCAAATGTAAGTGAGTAAAGCGGGTTGCTGCCACGTTCACACGTGTTTCTAGTGGCGTCCACCATGACGTTTGCTGTCTATATGCCTCATTTAAAAATTTTTCAACTCAGACATTTGTTTTTACCATCTTTCCCTTTGATAGAGTGCCAGAACGTATATGTAATGCAATTTGATCTGAACATAAATTTCTTTGCTCAGGGTTTACAATGACTCATGCTAACAAAATTCGAAACCATAACTCACCAGAGTGCTACCCGGCCTTGTTCACTCTAACTGCTCAAACCCATGTTCATTTTTACTCATTGAAACATGAATTTGCCTCGATTCCACTGACCTTGGCTCACATAAACTGAAAATCAGTAATGTTTTAAATCAGCCCTGGTCAGTCGGGCCAACTACAGTTTGATTGATATGGGGGGTGTAACGTCCCAAAATCACCATATGGTTATGATAGATGCTGTAGTGGAGGGCTCCGGAAATTTCGACCACCTGGGGTTCGTTAATGTGCACCGTTTAAGAAAGTTGTGTTCGGAGTACTCCAATACTTATAAATTCAAATCAGTCGTGATAAATCGGACTCGAGATTTTCACCGTGGGTCCAGCTTGACCAAACTGAGAGTTTGGTAAGTTGGCGAGGGTTCATGATTACGAGACGGGGCAAGGATTGGACGCACAGCACTGCAGACGAGCAAGGAGACACGAAGGCCAGCACCGGGCTCTCAACTATTCTTTACTCAATTTGACGCGCACTTTTTTTACCCACACAGGGTAATAAAAGCAGCATTGAAAGACATGAAGAAAACAAAAAAAAAAAAACGTCAGATTTGTCTATTCTAATACAAGAATCTGTCTCCCAGCAGAAAAAAACAACGAGCAGTTGTTCTGTGTACGAATACAACCGATGATAGGCCTGTGCCTGATCAGGCCTTTCATGGAAGTGGTAAGGTTGGGAGCGGATGGGGAGAGCGTTTGCTGCTCTCGGTGGGAGGAAAGGCTGGGTGAGAGTGTGTGCGGCGCACGTGGCGCAGCGCGAGCCATCGGCCGCCGCGCCTGCGCTCTCACTGCGGGTCTTGCTTGGCGCGCTTGCCTTGCGCAGGGAGCTTCGACGGCGACGGTGATGGAATGCTGGCCTAAGTAGCATAGCTCCTAATAAAGAAATGTATACGAATAGGCAAACTGGATATCTTTCCGCCTGCTTCGTGTGTGATGATTGATTGATTTCTGGACGTTTAACGTCCCTAAACCACCATATGATTACTGAGAGACGCGCTTCGTGTTTGCTGAGTGTGTGGCCAAGTGTGGTTGAAAAATGTGTGTGACAAAGTGGACTGAAGTGTGGTAGACAGTCTGGCGCTTGTTTTGGTGTTTTCTCCGTCGTCAGCGTTGTGCGTGTACTTTTTTTTTGCGCCCCATCACAATCACCAGTACAACTCACACTGACGATGACAATCATTGTCGACGCAATCCCTGCAGCGTACACCGACGAGCTGATCCGGGACCTCGGTGACAGTCCCGCGCTACGACTGAGCGAGTCGCAGGCAGAGTTCCTGCGTCAGCGGCTGGGACGCCTCTACGAGCACGTGCGCCGCCACCCGGCTCTCCACCAGCGCTACCTGTGGGTGGGACGGGACCAACCAGTGGCCAGCCCCGACGAGCCACCCTTGGCGTCGCCCGCCAGATTGGAGACCGTACGTAATGGGCAGTTTTGACAGGATACTGACACGCACATACACGTGGACATTAGAGTGGGATACAACTTTAGAAGTCCCCGTCATTTCCCCTACAAACGCGGACCCACACAAGCCTGAACCAGCAGGCGCGCGCTCCAGGCTGATGTCATGAGCCGTACTGCCGGTGACCCCACCTTCAATGAGCATTGCCAAGTGCATGAGCTATTTCTTCGGTCGCCGAGGTGACATGAAATACCTCATGCTTAAGCCAATGATTGAAATAGCTCATGAAGCTATTCTGTGTGAAGCCTTCCCGGGTGGCTTATGTTTCATCCAGCTATAGCGTACGCTGTATACAGCAATACTCTTGATACTGAGCAGAATTCTTTCCATTTTGCACTCCCATTATGATTGGGCTGCAGCGCTGGTGTTATTACTATTTACGGGGAGTGTAAATCAGGTTAGAGTTAGTGATTTAGTGAAACGTATGACGAAGGGTTTCGGATAAAGAAAGGTCATGACGTTTTACTTCACCTCCTTCTTCTCTGAGGAACGCAGGAAGGTAAAACGGAGAGGAGGAGAGAAATGGGGTTAACTAATGCATGATGACGTGGCTCCATCTAGGACGGTCTAAAGCAGAGTGCTTTCTCACCTTGATCCTGTCACCCGAAGCCGTTTGGTCAGACATAACTGACGTCTAGTTCGAAAGTACAGCTCAGTTATATGGTACAAAAGTATCGCTAAATAAAGAGAACGCTCTGCTAATCATTCGTACTTGGCACGACATAATACTAACCGAATTTTTCACGTTTAACATTTATATCTTGCTGTAACGATAGAGGGCAAGTGCCTAGCAGTGGATCAGAATCAAAGCAGGTAGATGGGCACGGCCATGTTGGGGCGCTTTCCGAACCGGCGGAAGTTGACAAGGCAAGCGTAGCATCCAGCAGATCACGCGCTGGCGCAGTGCTGACAACCAATCTAAGTACTCACAACAGAACAAAGATAAAGCAAGTTTCACGCAGTCAAAGCTGTCGAAACAGCGAAGTGCTACCATGCCAACTCTGGCTGCCTCTCCTGCGAGTGGCTTCTTCTTCTTCGGGTGGATGACAAGTCTCGCTAGGAAAGGGTGCGAGGCGCATTAACCCTCGCTCTTACCCCCCATAGCCGGTCACATGGTTTCCACCAGCACCTTCCCTATTGGTTGGCTCCTCCGCAACGGCATATTTCTACGCCTTTTCCGTGGTGTGGCGGCTCGCCATCACTCTATCATATTTCGTGGGGATGCCAGAACCGACCACCAAATTTAATTACCTCTTTAGGTCAATATAAGCTCTCGAGTACTTTCGAACAATGAGAATAAAAGCTCGCCAGCTGTGACCCAGAGGTACAGCTTGCGCTCCTGGGTCACGTCTGGGAGGCAGCAGCAGCAGCCAGCAGAGCCCTGGATTTGGGGCCTCACGAATCTAGCTCATGACCACTGTATCATACCCTTACGAATAGAAGTTCTTATCTTTCGTCGAATAGCAGTAATGACAACGGTGAAGAGTCTGGCAAGAGCAACGCCGTTGTTAATAACTCTTAAGGCTGATTCACACCTGCAACTAGCCGTCGGTCATGCGACCAAGTTAGTGGCAAAGCGACTGATCGCAAACACTCACACATTATGGTCCTTGGGCTCGTGGGGTGACTGTTTGGCCTCGGGCGATCATGGCTCGATCCGGATTGCTTTCGTTCAGCAGGCTTCGACAGTGAGCAAGCGTGGAGACAGCAGACAGGAGCGGTCGTCGCCCCCACAGGTGCCCCAGGGCGGCGAGCGTGGCAGCGTGCGGGGCGTGAAGAGGACCCCTCCGGAGACGCCGATAGCGCCCCTGTCGGAGGAGATATGCCGCACGAGCACCGCCTGGGAGCGGCTCAACGAAACGGTCGATTCGTTCGGCAACGCCGTAGAGGTGGTCCAGGACGAGGCCTTTCCCCAGTGGGTCTTCTCGTACCGCTGCGCCTCGCAGGGCTCGTCCTGCGTCGGCATTGACGCCATGTGAGTCTGCTCCATTGTACACATCACTGCTTCCTGTTTGAAATACGAGCACGGAGGTGATTTTTTGTCAACAACGATGGACGCCGACAGCGGCTTAGGACCAAAGAAAAAGACTGCTTGACGTCTCTCCTTCCTGCTTATGAACCTTTGACCGCATCCGTAGACCTGTCTATTCTGAAATGTCGACCTGAGATGTCATTGCTGGTTGAAGGCGACGAAGGCTTGTTATCCTATTATGGTTTTTGATCTTGTAAAGAGTGTGAAGAGAGACTGTGCGCGCGTGTGATCTCCCTTCTCTCTCTTTCTCCATCTTAATAACTCCCCCACTTCTTTCCCTGTGTGGGGTAGCATACCAGTCCTTTCAAATTTGTCAAAATCCCCGCCTTTCCTTCCCTTCTATTCCTTCTTTGCTTCGTAGCTTTGTCGCCCATAAAAGGTAGAGAGATAGAGAAAGGGAAAGGCCAGGAGGTTTACCAGATAATGACATCTGGTTTACTATCCAGCACTAGGGGTGGCAAAACAGCGACAAGAAAGAGGGTGTAGGGAGAAAGAGAGAAAAGAGGAGAAAAGCACGCACGTGCACTTAGGAGAAAAAACACCCAAACACACACAAAAATTAAGGACCATCTCCCCGAAGGGAGCCATGATGCATGCGAAGCAGCAGCGGTGCGCACGCCGTTGACCCGGCTTAAACGGGCGTCGACGCGGATGCTGGAAGGAAGGTTTGAAGCGAAACACGGTGTAGCCTTTACTCGAGTAAACATTTGTTGAAGTGCAAAAACATGGAAGATGGGTTGGGTTTTGTGTAAGTTCCATCGCAGATAAAAGATCTGAAAAAGTGTTTGCACTCCACGTGCGGTCGAGCTTTGCGGGCGGTGGAGAGGTTGAAGAGAGAGTGTTTCGAGTGGGCAGAGGAGAAATGCCACCTAGGTGTGTTGGGAGGATCAAGCAGCTGTGATGGGTGAGGGAGAGAGTGACGTCAACGCGCAGGTGCGACCTGATTGATTGATATGTGGGGTTTAACGTCTCAAAACCACCATATGATTATGAGAGGACGCCGTAGTGGAGGGCTCCGGAAATTTCGACCACCTGGGGTTCTTTAACGTGCACCCAAATCTGAGCACACGGGCCTACAACATTTCCGCCTCCATCGGAGCGCAGGTGCGACCTACTGGGCATCGTTCCAATAACTGCGGCGGGGGGAACGCGGAGCGGCGCGTTGTCACGGAGACGTGGAAGGACAGCGTTACAGAGGCCAGTCAAAGAGCTGCTTCGCATCTAAAACACGCAAAAATAAATATTTGCCGCTTTGGAGAAAGCGAGATGCGGGTACTCGTCCACGTATACGCTACACAATATCAGTAGTACGGCCCAGATAGCAATGCCCCCAATGCACTAGACCGCAGCGCCTGGGTGAGTCACCTAAGGAGCGCCAACCGTCCGATCCACCTTTTGCACGATGCCCTGACGCATGCGCCATTCGCTAGCGGAAAAGTCACGAAACATCTCCTGGTCTCACAGGCATTCGTTCTAGCAATGGCAGTTTTCCCGGTCCCTACCAAAACCATACCATAACGCCTGAGGGTAGCACAGAAAAATAGAAAAGGCGGATTCCACACCCAACCGCATAACAGGCACAACTCTCGACGTCTATAACGTGAAGTGCCGGGCTTGAACTGATAGCAAGACAACAGCCGCAGCCCGTGGGGTCCTCGAATCCACGTATACGCCCGGGTTAAGAAGCAGTGAGTGGCTAGCCATCGTTTGTAGCTATGCACCGACAGCACATGCGTGTATGATGCAGGTATAACAGCGAGTGCACGGAGCGCTCGGGTTTCATGATCCTGTACCACCGAAAGAGTGGCTCCGCCAACGACAGCCTACCATCGTGGGGGGCCGTTGAGGTGCCGCATCACTGCACCTGCAAGATCACACCCAAGGTCATCGCCGAGCGTTGAGCCGTCCACTCCACGCCTTGAAACAGAGCGGGAGGATCTACCACATTCAAGCGTGGAAAGTTTCCAGGAGACACACACGAAAGGGAAGACTGCTGACTCGAAAGCCACGTCCCAGAAAAAAAATGAAATAAATAAATAAAAACATATTGGGTGCTTAAAAAAGCACCCACTTCCGGTTTTGTCCGGTGCAAGCATGACCCACGTTTTGTCTTTTCATTCGAGCTCGTCGACTTCTTCGCATTGGATAGGCTGTCATCGTCGTATTATGGCACCCAGCGTCGCAGGCAGATTGCAGTGGCGTTGAAAGAAGAGTTGCACTGGCAGGTTGATTTTTGCGTGAACGTCATTCCCAATCATAATAAATTAATGCTATTCACACTAAGATGTTAAATCAAGTTGCTTATTAGAACAGTGGGTGTAACTGTTGATGCATCTCGCATGCGCCATCGCCTTCCATCCCACCCCATGGACTGAGACAGATTTGTGACGTAGCCTCACAACATGGTACACTGGATAAACACAAACACAGATAAAAACATGCCGAGAATATTTTGGTGACGGGATTTGAACTCATTATCAATGGTACTGAAATCCGGTCGTTGCAAACACTGTAAGTTGCGCGAGAAATCGGCGCATTTCGGCAAAGCCCGCCTATAAACTCGGCATGTCTCAGAAGGTTATTTCAAAGTAAATGGAGGTCTGCGATGTGCAGAGAGGAATTACTACTCCTATGGAGGAAAAAATTTTATCGCCTTAACCATTTCCTATTCCAAGCATTTCTTTGTAAACCAAAGACAGTTTAGCCGTGTCCAAGCACCCATTCTCCCGTGGCGGTGCTCAACACTGGGAATGTATCAAAGGGCCCATTGTCGCTAACACAACCAAGTCGATCCACCAGTTAATTTAATTTCATTCTTTATTTCCAACAAATCATGACAAAAAGTGTAGGTAACTAATGGCAGTTTCAAATGAAGTCTAGTAATTAGCAAATAAAGCGAATATCAATGACGGTGAATGTGGGAAAAAATTGCGTGGTTTGCAGTAAGTCGCGTAAAGGCTGAGGTCATGAGCACAGGCCAGTTCATGATGAGGACGATTTCCTATCTATGACACACGGCACACCTCTGCCGTAACAACTAGGCTGCGAAAGAACAACGCAATGCTGGCCGTGACGGAACCGACAATCTTTGCATTAATCTCGATCCAATTGTTCTTCATTTTTTAAGGGGTACAAATTCTTCCTGCATTGTGGTCCGCTACTTGTGGGAATTTATAGGGTGATTTGATTGATTGATTTGTGGGGTTTAACGTCCCAAAACCACCATATGATTATGAGAGACGCCGTAGTGTGAGAGACACCGTATGAGAGACGCCGCGTACCTTATTATAAGCTTCCGTGACCCTATAGAGTTCCATATTGAAGTACTTAGAGCTGTATCTGGTGCTAGTGTCCACGCCGGCTCCTTCAGTGGTGCTTAGGTCACCATTGGAATGGTGGGAAATACGGGCTTCAGATCTTCTTCAGAGGGATTTTGTTTTTAGGGTATACGATGCTTGATTGCCGAGTGTAAAACAAAGTGATATAACAAGCTATTTACAATTAGAACGTCATTTCTTTTTTTTGCGTAAAACTTATGGCAATAAGTTTGTGTGACCGTGAGATGGTATTGGAACCTGGACAAATTCAACTACCAGGGCATGCATTGCTCTACAACTGTATTCCGGATTGGCCATTACAATATAACTAAATATTTTTTACATTTCAAACACACTCGTTTTTTTTCTCTAAAGTACACATTATCTCTTCATGAACATATCAGCACTGTATTGAGCGAGAATCACTTGACGTATGTTGTGCTGTGGTTCCAGATGTGTCTATCCAAATGACATTCCCCTACGCATCTCTCGTTTCGTTTCAAAGTCGAGTCAGAGGAGTATTTTAGAGGAGTTTTTCTTAGCACTACTCTCAATTTCGTCGTCATTTCACAGTGAGTTTGACCAAATTTTGGCAAAATGCTCCTATATAATAACGTGAACGTTATGCGATATTGTGCATTGGCACGGGACGCTACATCCATGTGCAGTGCGAGTGGCCGACGCTTCACTAAAACTGTCAAATACATCACAGCAAACCAAGAGACGTCGGGGTCAGAAGCCCTTTTGAACAAAAAAAAAATATTGCACGCGTTTTCTCGTAAAAGGAATCCCAAGCAGTATGCGAAGTAGCCACGGGTAGACTTAAAGAACCTTAAGGGCCAGTCAACAGGCTCCGAAACACGCAGGATAAGCTCGCGCATTTTTCCTGCGCGTGACCAACTTTCTTCAACGCGTAGTGACGTCAACTCGGCGATTGGCGACGTTGACTATATTACTCTTTATTGATACCTGGTTTAGACCAATCGACGAGCTGCGTGCTACGTCACGTAGCCGATCAAGTTGACGTCAGTGCGCGTTGAAGGAGGTTGGTCACGCGCAGGAAAAATGCGCGAGCTTATCCTGCGCGTTACGGAGCCTGTTGACTGGCCCTTTAAGGTTCTGCAAAGAGGCGCCCTTTGTTCATCGCCGTAGGCGTTCATGTTTAGCACACAGTCGCTTTGCGAGCCCTCCCCTCTGCCTCACTCACGCTCATGTACTTATTCGTACTACTACGCGGCGTTTGCGTGAGAAAGAGGAATAAGCGCTTTGATTCTACAGAGCAGTGCAGCACCGCTAGTGTCCTTGTTCTCTCGCTCACTTGATGTCTGTTTTTTGCACTGCACTAAATTATGATTCAACACCCTAATTGCTACAAAGAACGACAATCGGCGCGCGTTCATATCCAGGGAACAGGAAAATGCGGCAGCGTCCAATCATAAGTTGCCTCCCCGAAAAACAAGATTGCCACACCAGAAACGGTGGATTGTCGACAAGCACACGATAAAAAGAGTGTTATTTAACGATAAAGGGCGCATACAGACGCATACGGGCCAGGTACACATACAAAGACGTCTCATGTGCTAGTGGGTGCCTGGTGTTTGCATACGACGCCACCCAATTCTACGAGTTATAAGAAGTTTCGCCTCAAAGGTGTTGTGTGTTTACGTAGAGAAACTATATTCAATATAAACAGGTTTTGTAGGCCCCAAAGGGTCATCTATAATAGGGGAGCTCCTATTCCAGAACCACAAATGGATAAGGTGTCTACCCTCGGCCGCTGTTCTGGCACCCTTTGAGACTCCAGTCTTGAGCAATTAAGTAGGGCTGCTTCCCATGCCCCTCTGTTAGGAGAAGGGAAGGAGTCACGGGACTCGAATAAGTAAAGTAACGCGAAGGAATAAAAGGCTTCAGCAGGAAACGCGCACCTTTTTGGCCATATAGCCAATCAAAGCCTATAAGCCACAGTGAGACGCATGCCTCTATGAATCACGCGGTTAAAAGGGGATTTCTTCAGGAAGCAAGCGCTTTAAGAACACAAAGCCAGATGTGGGGTCAAGTTTAGTGGCGTGACACGGCCGGGGCCGTGCTGACGTTCCAAGTTCAGGCACGCTCGGCAGGCAAGGTCGATCACTGAAGACACTGAGCAGAACACGCCGGGCGCCTTTCGCAAGCCACACTCCTCCGAAAGGAAGCTATACATATCTACTCAAATGTAAGCAACGAACATGCTCCTGACTGAGTACACATTGCGCGCAGTTACCGGATGCAAAATGAACGAAAGAAAAGGGGGGAAGGGGGAGCGGGGAGAACATGTGTGACGTCACGCTGAGGGACAGACCCCCCCTTGGAATACGAATGACGTATGTACACTTCGAAGTCTCAGTTTGAACCGCCTGGCCGAGTCTATTGCTCAGTCCACTCTGCAAAACAAGTGACTCAGCTGGGAGCAATCCCCCTTCTCGAATCCTGCGCTGTATACGAAAGTATGGGCATGGCACTGCTGCACCATTGATTTTAGTTCTGTGCAGTAAGCGATCCTGCTGCTGATGATGATGCTCAGCTGCTGTATTTTCTGCCGTAGGTCACATAACTGTAGCAGGGTCAACCACTGGGACAGTTGGTGTGGTTACATGGTACGTAAAGCAGTCCAAAAGAAGCGGGAAGAACTAGATACCAGGAATGCTTAGACACTATATACGAAGCGTTCGAAGTGCCCTGTCCTGTATTTCGCGCAACTTAAATAGTAACATAACTGCACCGCTCTTGAAGTAACAGCAAGGTTTCGACGTCTTCGGAGTGGTACGATGTGTGAGATCCTTCACGTAGAAGCATTGAGGAAAACGAGTACTCCTCAGGATGTATTGTTGTGCTAGCGAGATTCCCGTGGCCTGCGAACGTCCGCAAGAGGGCAGTAATGTGATAAGTTACCAGTGAGACAGTTATAACCCACTCGAAATCTTGTTGCTGTATCCTTTAACCCTTGATGTTTTCTGGTTGCTCGTGCACATGCTCGTGCTTAGGCTCGACATCATACCTTTTTATCCACGCACCACGGCTAGTGATCAGCCAGAGTGTGCAAGTTCGACTAAAATATCCGTATTCTTCTAGAATGACCCTCTGTTGCGCCACTTGCTTGAAAACGTCCACCACAATGAGCAAAGCTTCGTACCCAATTTCAGCGGGCCTTGCACAGAAGCAGGGGATGGTAGTTCAGCGGCTCCGACTGCACGGCATTGGGGTGCGCAGCGTAAATTGTTACCGTGTTGCATAGTATGCGCAAAGGTGATCTTGCCATACCTTAATATGAGAAAAACCACGACGCATGATTTTGAACAACCTATGCGTAGATGTCGGTATGTTCCGTCACCTCATCCTTCTCCGCAAAGACGGAAGATCTGTTCACCGCGGTAAGTAGGGATCGCTAGGATCGATAAACGCCAAGAGTGCTCACAGTAAGCAAAAAAATGCTTCACACCTAACAAATCCTGTATCCACCCATGCATCACTTACCTAATATTAAATCAGCCCGCTTTAGTAGCAGGCATGTGCAATCTTTTTTCGAGGAGGAGAAAGTGGAGGTTGGAGATAGAAAGGGATGTGACGTGGCACGAGGATGCGACGGAGGAGGCTGAAGAGCCAGCTCATCGTAAGTCTCCGCTACCCTTATTGTCAATTCAAGAATATTGCCTGCCCATTCGGCAACGAACTGCATATGACAAGCTGCTACTGTTCCGCATATAGGTTATGAATAGAGCAGCACTATCAAGAAGAAGGATGT